CTCGTATTTGGCTCAAAACTGAAAATTTTCATAAATTTCAACATTTGTATTAGGAGAGCATAAGTTGCATCGGGTCTTTTTCAAAAAACTTTTGAATTTTCCGTTACTTTTCGATTTCGATTTTCATTCATATACGTGGAGCTACCTTGAACGGAAAAACGTAAAAAACACCATAAATAGCCATTTTTGAACAAAAATAAAGCAAGCCACAGCTACTTCTTATCATTTATTAATCAATTATCCATATCAGTTATCATTTACTGGCGAATTAAGAAACAATTTGTCCTAATGTTCGATTTCGGTTCCCAAAAATAACCGATGTATAGCTACCTGTCGATCGTTTTTGGGAACCGAAATCGAACTTCTGCCAAATATTTTTGCTGAATTCATCGATAAATGATAACTGATGATATAGATTAACCAATAAATGATACAAAGAGCTCCCGCTTGTTTTAGTTTTGCCAAAAAATTATTATTTATGGTGTTTTTTAGGTTTTTCTCGTTCAAGTATAGGAACGAAAATCGAACTTTGGCAGAATAGTTTTGCTGAATCCTTCAATAAATCACATCCAATATCAAAGATTAATCAATAAATGATCTAAATACGCTCTCGTTTGCTTTATTTTTGCTAAATTATCAAATTTTATAGAATTTTTTTCGTCTTTTTCGGGCAAAATCCACCCATGTATTATCGATAATTAATCAATAAATGATAAGAGTTAGCTGTGGCTTGCTTTATTTTTATCAAAAAATGATTATTTACGGTGTTCTTTAGGTATTTTTCGGTTTAAATACACCCATGTATATATTAAAATCCAAATTTATTTGTAAATCTGTAATATAGTTGAAACCTGTAATCTTGATTTAATAATATTCGACTATCGGTCGGGAGATGTCGCTTTAGGAACGTCAAATACGAGGGACGTTCTAAAATTCTTTAACTGAAATATCAGGAATAATCGGAAAGTTTTAACAGAAAATATTTAAATTAATTATCACTTTATTAAGTAAAATTTTCGTAGGGGTAGGTGGAATTAGGAAAGAAAAAACAAAATAAGGGTTGTACCGAAGTTGTATAATTTCTTTACATCCTTTTTTATGACTGAATACATAATTACATGAAATAAAATATGTTCAATAACACATTTATTGTTGCAAATTAATAGCATTTATATTAAAAACAACGTATGAATATCAACAGATAGGGACTTCAAATAATAATACATTAATACAAACAAAATATTTAAGAAATAATACATGAACTGTCATATTATTATTATTGAAATGCAAGATTAGAGAGAAAAGAGCCCCCCTAACCCTCTGTGACCTCCGCATCACCTCTTTACCCACCCTATCCACCCAAACGAATATTAATTTTGAAAGCGTTAACAAATATTTTAACAATTATACCAAAAAATCAGTATAGAAACATTTTAAATATCAACCCAGGTTAGGATTTTAAAAATATAACAGTTTATACAGTAAAGTACATAGTACCTGTAAAAGAAAGACAAGAAAATAAATGAAATTTCAAGGAAAATACAATAAAAAGCAAAAAATACGATGTCTTCTTTCTTCTTAGAGAATACCTCATTATCTGAAAGAAACTAGTGCAAATTAACAGGACTAACGGCAAATACTAATAGTTTTGGTACACAAGATCGGACAGATTTCGCCAGGGCAAGCTGGGCAGTCGCCTATTGCTCCTATTCCAGATAACCCACTGTACCCTGCCTGAAAGGAAGTAACGCTAGAGTGACTCGCGAAAAGTGTATGAGACACTTTTAAGAACAACTAAAAAGCCAAGGCCAAGGGGACTTGTTCGAGGCGGCCCTCTCTCCTCCCACAAGGCTGAGAAGAGAATACAACACTATAAGGAAACATTGAATCTTATAGAAGGCTTGGGGTAAATGCGAAGCAAAATAGTAAGAATGTGCAGTAAGCTAAGCAAAGAGGTAAGCAAGAAACATGTTAGACTACCATTACTAAAAAATAAATAATGAAACACGTTAGTTCTACTACAACTAAATAAAATACAAAACAATGTAAAACCAAAAACTTAATTCGAATAAAATGAACTTAATCAATTACTTCTTTTAGATAGAGCATGCAAGATAAATAACTATTTTAAATTAGGGTCTCCTTTGTCTTCTCCACCGTCGATCTGAAACAGATAGAGTGGTAAAAGATTAATAAAGTGCAATTAAAATTAATTGTATAAAGTATTCTCACCTTAATTATCAGGTGTGAAAAGCAACCCAAATCTAAGGGGAAGAACATAGCAGAAAATTTGTTTCAGTAGAATTCAAAAAATCTCCGGTTGCTCTCACTCAATGGTTGAAGTTTAACTGAATGATGTTGCAAGGCGAAGACAAAAACATTGTTTGTTTCAGTAGCATCAAAATCTGTAGAAATGGAAAGGTAATTAATTACAATATTCAGTTAGATATGAAATAAACTAAAAATGCAGTTAAAGGAAAGTAAAACAGTAAAATTTTGAAGTGGCGTACAATGCACCATCAATAAGCAAGGTAGACATCCATATTAAATGATTAATAAAAATTGTTTTGTCCTTTTGCTTAATATTTTGTTGTCATATTAAAATTATTATTAGTTTATGAAATAATTAAAATAAATACTGTATCTATATTTGCTGGAAAGAACATTTTAAACATTTAAAACAGTTATGGGACATTTTTATGATTACTATGCATACATATTTCACATACCTTTTGGGTTATAAATCATATATAATTCAATTAGAGAGACACAAATTCTTTTAGGTTTCTGCTGATGTTTCGATTTTCTACTTTGTAACATTTTAAAATAAACATCACAAATATATAATAACATACCTAACTTTTAATTTATTTGCCTGCTTGTGATTGTCATGGGTTGCAGTTGACATTATACATTATAATAACCATAGATAAATAATAACGTGTCTAGAGGCACTCAATGCCGGCTATCTTTTCAGCATATTTAAAAAAAATATTAATAATGGCTTCAAATCTTTAAGACGTTATTTAATGTAAGAAAAGTATTTTCTATGCATTTAATAATCATTTTAATATTTACATTTCCAAAAAGTTGCAAAATTAAATGGTAAGTGAAATAATCTAGGGTTATTTGTGTTTGCAGTATTCAAACCAATATTCGCGGAAAAATTTTGAAAGGTCAAATTCAATTTTATTAACGGTCAAGATCGGTGCAATTTAAGATTGGTAGAGGTACTTTTGTCATCGTATAATGCTGTTTATTAAAAGTGTTATATTAATTGTATTATAAATTTAATACTGATCGATGTGTTAATTATTGTGGGCATTTGTAAGCTTTTCAAAAAGTGTCAGTTAAACGTAAAAACCTAGATGGATTCTCATGATTCAAATGGTAAAGGTACCCCATCCGAAGATATTCATAATATACTTAGAGATACTGTGCAACCTAAATTTAGTCAAAGTAACTATTGCTGTGATAGTCCTTTTAAATGGCTTCCCCACGTTTCAACTCCTCCATCAAGATTTTTTAAAATAAAAAATCCGTTTGAGACACACTTAACAGAAAGGCTGCATACAACTGTATTTAGGTAGATTATACATAACATACTTATTTTTTAATACATGATAACTCACGAATTTATTATTACTTAGCCCATCAGTTTTTAATAAAGAACCAAGTCCCAAGATTGATACATTTAAATGGACAATTGAGGAAATCTCTAATTTAAAACCTGCTGATATTGATGAAACTACAATCAACCAATTTTCACCAGAAATGGATCCAATACTTGAAGAAACTGCTCAATCGAAAATAGAAAAGTTTTTTAGTAAAAAAGAAATTGTTCCTAGTCCAATGGATAACATTGTGAAGACTGAACCATTGATCTCTGAAGATGCTAGTCCCCCAACAGTAGAAGAAACTAAACAATTTGTAAATGGTAAGTAATAAAATAATTCTACACAATTATTGTCCATGATATAATTATTAGGAGCATCCCAAACTGTGCTAACGCTACCACCGATTCTGCCAGCTTCAGTAGAAACTGCACTAAAACCGTACTTCTCATACACTATTGACCAACAAGAGAATGCAAACTTTATGCTTTATAAACAATTATTTGAATATAATGAACATGAAAATATCCAAAGCCCTTCACAAAGCATTCAGAGCTCTCCTGCTCCATCTTGTCAAATGTCTCCCATACAGTTTTCACCCTATGAAAAGAATCAGACAAGAGAAGGCTTGTTTAGAAGGTGTGAAAGTTTAGAACATATATCTCCATTAAGAGATTGTGACCTTTCTCCTATTTCATCAAGTCCAAATAATAAAGAAGTCACAAGGGGGCAGTCCCGTTCTTTACATTCTAACAATTATTCATGTCATATGAGTGTGGACACTTCCATCAACTTAGTCCCAGACACGGCAGATGAACTACCACCAAATCAGAGTCTGGCTTTTGGTATGACAGTACTTTTATAATATAGTAAATTTGTCCCAAGTTCAATCTAATTTCAAATTTTTCTTGTTAGTTTGCCTTACTAAAATTAATAACTACACTGAAAATTCTAACCCTCTGTGACCTCCGCATCTCCCCTTTACCCACCCTATCCACCCAAAAAGGAATATTAATTTTGAAAGCGTTAACAAATATTCTAACAATTATACCAAAAAATCAGTATAGAAACATTTTAAATATCAACCCAGGTTAGGATTTTAAAAATATAACAGTTTATACAGTAAAGTACATAGCACCTGTAAAAGAAAGACAAGAAAATAAATGAAATTTCAAGGAAAATACAATAAAAAGCAAAAAATACGATGTCTTCTTTCTTCTTAGAGAATACCTCATTATCTGAAAGAAACTAGTGCAAATTAACAGGACTAACGGCAAATACTAATAGTTTTGGTACACAAGATCGGACAGATTTCGCCAGGGCAAGCTGGGCAGTCGCCTATTGCTCCTATTCCAGATAACCCACTGTACCCTGCCTGAAAGGAAGTAACGCTAGAGTGACTCGCGAAAAGTGTATGAGACACTTTTAAGAACAACTAAAAAGCTACGGCCAAGGGGACTTGTTCGAGGCGGCCCTCTCTCCTCCCACAAGGCTGAGAAGAGAATACAACACTATAAGGAAACATTGAATCTTATAGAAGGCTTGGGGTAAATGCGAAGCAAAATAGTAAGAATGTGCAGTAAGCTAAGCAAAGAGGTAAGCAAGAAANATTATTTATATTAAAAATAAGAACTAGATTTAACTTGGACAAATTCAGCATTTAACTGGAAATGTTCTGTATGACTTTTAAAGATGTTGATGTTATTTTTTCTTATTAGAGAGTGCCCATTCGTTTTTTAACAATGAAGTTCTAAGTGATTCTACAGTTAACTGGGACATGGAATACAAACATGTTTCTTTAGAGTCTCTTACAAAGAGTCCTGTGAGAGGTAGTGACAGAATGGACGTTTCTAATACCAACACGCCAAGATCAAAGATTTTCACTAGTCAGAGAAAGAAGCTCTCGGAAAGTTTCCTTCTGACTGAACTCACCGGTGAAAACGAAGAAAATAAAGAAAACGTTTTTTACGAAATTAAGGCTGCCACAAGTACCAGAAGTTGCTCGATTACTACCAAAACTTCTCTGTTTAGTCGTGACATCACAGATGCGGGCTATCATACGGGTCTTCATACTATGTCGGAGGAGGGCTCTTGGAATTGCTCTTCAGCTCTTTTCGCGTCTACTCCCACCAAAAATAAACACTGATATAATAAAGGTACTACATACTATAAATTTTTTACAAAAGGGGACCGTTTAGCTATTGACATCATAATGTCTTATTTTTTTTTACTTCATATTAATTATTCGAGATTATCTTATTAATAATAGATATAATAATTATTAAATTGTAAATGTAAACAAAATGGTGGGTGTGCGATTTTAGTATAATTTTTTTGTTTAATTCTTTGGTACTTCACCAGCAACTATTTTATAAAGACTGTAAATACGTGCCAAAGAATTTGGGATTTTTAGCTGCCAATATTTTATACTTTCTTACATTTCAACTTCTAATACTATTATTTGCTCATAATGACTGTTGTGCAGTTTGATCTGAATCATAACTGTATTGTGTGTAATTGTTTATTCAAAATAACAGGAATTTTGGTGGTCTTTGAGATTTTACTCTTGACGTTTCGCCTACAACTGCGGCAGGCATTTTTAAAAGATCTATCGTTGCTGGAACCAACTAAATCATTCAACATCTACCGCAATTTAGACGAAACGTTAGGAGTAAAATCTTAAAGATCATAGTCAATAAATCTGGAAAATTCTTGTAATACACTGAAGACGCCGGTCGTGAAAGCCTACGTTCACTTCTTTGTTTATTAATTGTATACGTACATTTAATAGGTTACTAGGGCGTTTTGATCAGTTTTGTCTCGCATAACACATGATGCATATCATTTCGATAGAAGTTCTGTTGTTATTGTTTGTAAATTTAACAAATGTATTTACTATTTTTTTATCAGATAATTATTATTTTGATTGAGTAATATTCTGCAAAAATTAATTATGTTCAATAAATTATTACTCTTTAAATTTAAAAAGACTCCATACATGAAATACGTAATTATTATACAATTCAATTTTTTATCTAATGTATCTAAGTTTTGTATATTATTAATTAGCTTTTAGTACTTGAACGCTTTTAAAATGTTTATTTTACCAGCTAAATTACTGCCAATTTTAGTCTCAATTTTGTAGTTATAGATGATAAATATTATTTAATTATAATGTCCCTTGAAGTATTTGTGCAATTTAATAAACTATGCATCTCATTTTAAGAATTTTACTTAGAAAATAAAATTCTCTCGGTAATTTATTTCTATTGGAAAGCTGAAGAGATTGTATTCCAGTTCCATTAAAAATTGCAGGATCAATCCCAAATGATTTTGATGCAGAATTCTTTAAGTTTAGACGCCTATTTAAATCTTCAAAAAGTCCAAAATTTTATTTTTCATAATTTTTAGTATAGGCAAACATTTGGAAAAAGGAATAGCGCAAAATTTAAAAAGGGAAAAATTGGAAAAGGGTGAACAAAAGGAGAGAAATTGTATCCCTGAAATTGAATGCTATGCTTTTATATGCAAAGTCTACTGTAAACTCTTACAATATTAAAAAAAAAATAATAATACCTAATAATAAATTTACAAAACTTCAATTCGTAGCGATCAGCAACCAAACTGGAGGCTTAAGAGGGCTAAACACTTACTTATATTTGCAGATGCGTTTACGTTTTCATTCACAGACAATTGAAAAACCTTACCTATTATGACCTTTGCGTGTTCCTGCATCATTGCGACCAGTTCAGGGAGTCGATCAAGCACACTCGAAATCACATTCGGATTACTGTTGTCCAAACAAGTAAGTAGCAACGGCATCACTTCGCTACTCCTATCTGGACGGTGTTTAAGTAGTTTCAAGATTAAAACGAGTGCAAGGGAACGAGTGCTTCCACAGGACGTTGGTGATGTCACGCAGTTGTAAAGTTGTGGAGCGACGAGCAACAAAAGCTGTGGCCGTTTGTTTGATATGTGATCGAGATCTTGAAGGGCTGTAAGAGGATCTTGTTGTGTCTGCAATGTATTCATCAATGTTGGCCACTGCTGTGGTAGTGGGTCGTCAGTGGGTGGGGTTGTTGCACCCACAAGTAACTCCTGAGTACCTCCTCTCCCTGACTGCTCCTGTTGCTGAGTAGCAGGCAACGTCACGCTGGAAAGCAAGGGACGAACGCTCGGCTGTGATATTTGTAGATCACTAAAATAACATTATTAAAAGCTTAATTAGTATGACACTCCAAGTGGAAACTGGACAAACTGAGTTTGGGCAAACGGAACAAAAGGTATTAAAATTAAAGCAGATTGTGGGGCTTTGTCTTTTCATGTTTAGGATGTATAACAAAATAAAATTTACAAAACAATAGCACTGAAATGTAGATTGAATATAAAATAGAATAAAAGAAATTAAACCAAGAAGTAATGACATTTCATTAAAAATACAAATGTACGAAAAAGAGGTAAGCTCTTGTAATATGTATTTAAATCCTCCGCCACCAAAAGAATTAAATTAAAATTACATATGAGAAGTAGGACAAAAATGAGTATTTATTTGTGCAACTCTTTTCTTACCAAGTACTTCATTGTTAACTTGGTAACATTTCCTAGTTTTCATATTTAATTAAATGACAGGGTAGAGAACATGATCCCTTTTGTACATTCACCTTATTGTGAGTAAGTATGTAAGTTTTACGTACTTTAATAAATGCCCATGCTGTTGGAGATATTTCAATGCATTTTTTACATCATGCATCATCCAATTTTGCAAAAACGTGACAAATCGACTAAGTAAGGTCGTTAAGTCCTTCGAGTGTCCATGATATTGTAATAATAGAAAATATGAATCACAAAATGAACTTAAAGCCTTAGTCTGTTCGAAGACTATGGGCTGCAATAGTTCAACAATACCGAGCACTTGCGTGAAAAGCAAAAAATGTCCTCGACTTTTCAACACAATCCATTCGTACTGCGCCCTTCCTCGTAAACTCCCGGCTAACATTGGTAATTGCCTCAGGACAAGTTCGGGATGGACAGCAGCGAGTTTTCGCGCGCATAATTCTAGGTCGATGCTCTTCCGAGACCAGTCTTTGACACGGGGTGTAGTTGTTAATGCACTGAACAACGTGTGTGAGATAACATCAACAACGCTACCGCAGGTTTTAGAATAGGCTGCACCAGCTAGTTGCTGCATGTCGAAGTTTTCTATGTGACTTTTCACCGCTGGAACTGACATGTACAGCATGAGTAACAGCTCGCGAGCTTTTTCATCATTTTGTACTTTATCAAGTAATACTCGGGCCACTGTTGAGGCTGAGTAACCGATACTTTGAAGTAAGAGGGGCAGACGCGATTCCATATTGCTTTGCCAATTTTCTTCGTACAAATGGGCTTCTTCCAATATATAATTTGTAAGGACTGCGAGCTAGAAAAGTAAAGAAATTAACAACAAACTGTAAAAATTGAAGTCAATCTGTTTCCTAATTAGAAAGAGAGTCCAAAAACGTATTTAATTAAATTCCATAATTCTTCCCTTGAGTGGTATTAATAACAAGGGGCGAATAGATTACACCCTGGGTTGTTTTTACCCCTTATTTAGCACGTATTATTTTGTTTATTTAATTAAAGTGTACATGAACTGTCTTACTTGCTGTGAGTTCAACTGAAGCACGTCTTCAGTGTCATGATGCTTGGGAACAGCTTTGTCTCTTCCTTGCCATAGTTTAGGACTTTGAGTTAGCGCTTTCAAGAAATTAAGTACTGAAACAGGGCAGTATTCCTGTTTACATTTTAACAACTGGGTTCTAAGTGAAAATAATGTTTGCCAACTGCCCCTTTGTAGTAAGAGGGAGATTAGAAGTGGTCTGAAAGGGATTTGCTCTTTTGCAAATAGCAAATTCATCTAAAACAGTAAATGAAGTAATTGTTTTTTTTTTTTAATTAAATTTATGTAAGTACCTGTACACTTCTTTCTTCAGGTTTAGCAATTTCCAATTCGATTTGAGCCAGCCAGTCAACAATTAGTCCTTTCTTTTCTGGTAATGTTTCTTTATCTAATAGCAATTTTCCTAATCTTTCTCCAACTTTATCAGACACCTGTCTGTTGGTTGTAATTTTATTTTCTTTAATGACCGATTTGTATTCATCAACTTCCATTTTGATTTCATCTTTACTTTTCGAATAATAATTTAAAAACTGCTTCAAAACAGAAGCTAAGAAACACGTTTTGTCGTTCATTTTCGATAAAAGGTAACTGGCTACAGACGCTGTATTTTTGTTGACGTTTTTCTTCGTAAAAATTAACTTAAATAATGAAACAGAAAAACGTTGTTGGGAAATTAAAGTGTTTACGAATTCTGATGGAGCAGATTTTAAGTAATCTAAAATAACTTCTGATACATGCTTATTTGATGAGATGACCTGAAATATGACACAAACTAAATAATGAAGTATATATTGTAATACAATTTAAATAGTTTCTTGATCACATGTGCTTATTGTGAAGTTTGGAAAATAAGATGAAGAAAATTAGCAGTAGTACACACTAACAAAGACATACCTTCAACAATTTTAGATGTTCTTCGTTTTTATTTCCATTAGATTTCTTTCCAAATATTAGGTCCAAAGAGTCGATAACAGTTTCTGTGTCTATCAAAAGTTCCTTTTTAACAACTGCAACTGTAATACTGGGTTTGGTATGGGAAATATTCTCTATTTGTCCATCTTCTGGTAAAGCAGGCGTNCAAAAGCTTTTTATAAATCTACAAATCCTCTTTCTATCGTTTTCTCTATTATTACCCGTGAAGCTAGAATGATACACATTTGCATTTAACCTATTACTTCATTTCCTTACAAATTAATAAGTGTAAATAAATTATCGTAATAAGAAGGCACTACACTATTAATTAAGTAAAATCAAAAGCCAATAGTTATCAAATTCGGAAAATAATTCATTTATCAACCAAGCCACCAAACAAATGAAAAAACGCAAATATAAGGTTTAATTAGGTGTTGTTAATTGTTTGATTAGTGATTAATTACGACATTGATTTAACGACCTTGGTTAAAGCGTAACTAAACAGTGATACTAAACAACGTAACGTTTTTTTTTTGAGTTAACAGAAATGAACAAAAAGTTAACCTATTGTTTTTTTTTATTCATATGTATTTTCAATCAATCTCTTCCAAATAATTCAAAATTAAACAGGAAACGTTAGTCAAAAGTACTTTATATGTACGATCGTGGGTAATTAAATTAACAAAAAAGCTTTTCACAATTAAAATCAAACATTCCATGGAATAAAACTCAATCGACGTAAATTCTCAAATTCTATTATAAAAATCGAAAGTTCAATTTTAGCAATAAAACTTACATGCCCAGGTTAAAAAGATAATTAACACTTAATTACGTTTAAAAACTNTTTTTTTTTTTTAATTAAATTTATGTAAGTACCTGTACACTTCTTTCTTCAGGTTTAGCAATTTCCAATTCGATTTGAGCCAGCCAGTCAACAATTAGTCCTTTCTTTTCTGGTAATGTTTCTTTATCTAATAGCAATTTTCCTAATCTTTCTCCAACTTTATCAGACACCTGTCTGTTGGTTGTAATTTTATTTTCTTTAATGACCGATTTGTATTCATCAACTTCCATTTTGATTTCATCTTTACTTTTCGAATAATAATTTAAAAACTGCTTCAAAACAGAAGCTAAGAAACACGTTTTGTCGTTCATTTTCGATAAAAGGTAACTGGCTACAGACGCTGTATTTTTGTTGACGTTTTTCTTCGTAAAAATTAACTTAAATAATGAAACAGAAAAACGTTGTTGGGAAATTAAAGTGTTTACGAATTCTGATGGAGCAGATTTTAAGTAATCTAAAATAACTTCTGATACATGCTTATTTGATGAGATGACCTGAAATATGACACAAACTAAATAATGAAGTATATATTGTAATACAATTTAAATAGTTTCTTGATCACATGTGCTTATTGTGAAGTTTGGAAAATAAGATGAAGAAAATTAGCAGTAGTACACACTAACAAAGACATACCTTCAACAATTTTAGATGTTCTTCGTTTTTATTTCCATTAGATTTCTTTCCAAATATTAGGTCCAAAGAGTCGATAACAGTTTCTGTGTCTATCAAAAGTTCCTTTTTAACAACTGCAACTGTAATACTGGGTTTGGTATGGGAAATATTCTCTATTTGTCCATCTTCTGGTAAAGCAGGCGTTTGCATTTCAAGAGCTTTCACAAAAGTCTCCCCTCCCACAGCTCCCCTTCTGTTTTGTACTTCAACCAACTGTATCATGTAATTCTTGTCCAAAACAGAATCCACAACGAGTTTTGGGTCTAAAAGTGTCGCTTTGTCCAATATTTGCAAAAGTTTGCTTATGGAAACGACTGGTATTCCGAAAGATTGGATAAAGAGAACCAACTGAGACGCTTCCAACTTTTCAACGGCCGCATCGACCAATCGAGGTACAGTGGAGCGAATCATACGCAGCTTCAACCAATCAGGAACTAGTAATGCTTCTTCTGAGGTGTCTACGAGATATGCTTTTGGCTGTTCTTCGTTTAGTGGGAACCACATATCAACCAAGATGTCGAAGTGTTCAAAATCATCCAAGGGACCGTAAGTGAGAAGGATGATAGAGGCGTGAACGATTAAAATTTGCAATGTACATTGATCTCCGTTTGCCCAGCTGACTACCACCTGATCTTGGCTCTCTGACCAGTGAAACGTCTCGTCTGTTGGTTGCCGAGCTTTTTGAAGATACACGCAAAACATGGTAATCAGGGATTTTAGAGTTTGCATGTTGTCTCCAGGTAAAATGTTTGTAGCAACTGTAGTTCTTTCGACAATTAACGATGCCAAATCGAAAACGAGTTCTAATAAATCTGTCATAGATTCTTCGACATCTTGGGAGGACAGAAAGGCGATATAGTTGGAGACATGAATTGGATTTGTCTCAACAAAAAACGCTTGCCTTAAGAATTGAGCTAAAAGAGGTTTCACAGCGTGCAAGTGTAAAAATTGGGGTATGTACCTCGTAAGCCATTCTGTGTTAGAAGTATTAACATTGTTTATTTCTACGTCTTCGGATGGATTAAGGATTAGTGTTAATCCTTTGATAGCTTGTATACGACTGGAGGCATGTATGGATGTTAATCTTCTCAGTAAATATTCCAAGACTTCACAAGCACTTTGCGGATCGCTACCATTCACTACCGTTCGTAAATGAGCCAGAACTTGGGTATGTTTTGTGGCTTTATCAGAAGGAGTCGCTGATAATAGATATTCACATAGACATTGCACAGGTAGATGTGCAAAAGCTCCCTCAGACGAATGGATGAGTTCTGCAAGCCACGGCATGTGAGCTGTGCCTCCTTGTCGAGACATGATGTCCAATAGAAAATCTGGATTTCGGGAACGACACAGTAAATGACCAAGACGGTATGTATTGTTGAGTGATTGTAACTGATCGAGGATATGAGGAGGTGGTTTACGGGGATCGCCAGACGGTTTTAGCTCGATTAGTTGTGATAAAAGAAGACTGGTTTGTTCAGTAATTTCAACTTTGGTACTGGCCGCGGCCAAATGGGATTCAAACTCGAGGATCGTTTGACGTTCTAAGGAGCAAATTTGGAGTTCTTTGGACAAGAAGTCATCAAGAGTTTCAGTCGCAGAAACCATCGTTGGAGGTGGAAATGAAAAATGACTGAAACAATTTTGATAATTAGGGATTTCACTGCTCTAAAAATGTTGTAACCCACTTTATTATTTACTTACTTAGTTATACACATTTCCATCAACATCCTTAATGTGGAGTATTTATTCCAAGATAAACTTCCAAATGTAGAAGGATTATGTGCAGCTAGTATTAACAGAATGAGCCAAGTCTTCCACAGCAATGATGCAATAGCCAATTTTGGTGGAACGTAACCAGCAGGTAAAATAATATTTTCAGGGTAATTATAACAACACAAATTAAAGAAAAAGTCAACGATTTCAATCTTGTCCATCGCAAGGGAAGGCATACAATCGGCTGGTAAACCTGCAGCTCTCTTTATTAATTGATCAACGACTTCCATTAAGTCTGTTTGAGTTATGGGGTGTTCCTTAGATAAACCTATTAGAAGAAGTCTTAACAACGTTGCTTGAAGAAGTGGCACTTCACTAGCAAGTCTTAAAAAGAGATTTCGTTCGTTTTCGCCTGGCCACGAATCGACTTTATAATATTCTTCACCCGGTGCTAAGAACAAAACCTTATGTAGTACATGAACGAAATCTGTTTGATTTGGTCTAAAAATTCGGACGGCAATATCGTGAAGCCATATCACAGCTTCTCGCTGTATGTTGCTCACTTGGGATTGAAACGCTTGTAGTACAATCGCGTCCCTCTTGCTTTGAGTCGCAGCGTCTCTGACTTGGGGACTGATGCAAAGAAGCATACACATCGATACTAAGTCCGCCAACGAGACAAAAAGACGATCTTTAAACTCAAAATCACGAATTACACCAAGCAGTTCAGGACGTTCTCGCAAAAGCGCGTGAACGACGCTTAAGAGATTGAAATCGTGACGCAGAACGCGGTTAATCTCTTTCAATAGCGTCCGTAAAGAGCGGAGATAATCGTCTTTATTTAGTAGTAGTTCCTGAAAAAAGAACCAACAACTATTTTAGCAATTTTTAATATAAAAAAAAAAACAATTAAAAGCTTACTAAACAAATGTCAGCAAAAGCATCTGCACTTGCTTCTGGTGTCACCTGGAACATGGCACCCACGACAACCAAATTGTTGGTATTTCTCGCGTTTGATAGCTCATTGTAAATAGTGTATTTTAATAGGGGGTACAAGTTTTCAGGAAACGATACCACCATTTCTTTCAAACAATTATTAAAGATGTTTACTAATGGTTTATTTTTTAGTCTCAATTTACTTAACTGAGCTACAACTTCAATGTCTCTTTGGGTGCTGGCAGAACAATTGTAGCAAAGATAAGCGAGCAGTTCTTGAGCTGGTTTCATCAATTTATGGTTGTGCAGCCAAGTCTCTAAACGAGAAACTGCGATCACTCGGATCTCTACTAAGCCGCAAGCGGTGCTCAGAAAACGCACGAAATTTTTTGTTACTGTTTCTGGTTGTTGGCGTCTAGACAGCTGTTCTTTTATAGCTTCCAAAACTATTTGTTCTACTACTTCTTGGGATTGGGTATAACGTGGACAAACTTTCACTTGCCATTTTTCTACTACCGATTTATGTTCATTGAATGCTATTTCATATGAAAAAAGTATTATTATGTAACTACAACATATACTGGATTACTAGAAAACGAATAGTGAATGTTATCTGTAGAATATTGCTACATTTTGTAAGATTCAAAATTCAAATTCAACTTATACTGATATTTTGTTACCTTCATCATCATCTAAAGTATTAACAGTTAGAGGACTTCCAGTATCACGGCTGCTAAGAAACCACGTCTCTGATAGCAGATATTTAGGGGGTTGTTTTGTGTTAAAAGCAGTTACTATATTTTCCACAAAAGGTTTGCAATAAGGATTATCAATCCAAATTCGATCAGCCACAGCATCCTCCACATACAACTAAAAATAAATATAATATTGAATCATGTTTTCTAAATTTAAATAAAATAGTTATGTAGGTATGTACCTTTACAAAGACTTCAGGCCATTGTAATACTTCAGCAAAAGCATGCATAAGTGTATTAATGTATAATATTTGATTGTAAGCATTTCCTTTGGTAGCACTTTTATATCCAACTGCTATATCTCTCCTTAATGAACTGACCAAAGCACTTACAATATATTCATTTGTAAAAAGTGAAGGTTTACATTGGCATATAAGCAGTATACTGTTATAAAGTACTTTACAAGGCTTGAATCGTTGTCCTTCCCTTTGGCCCTTGAGGGCTTTTATAGCACCAAGAACGTAGCTTACCTTAAAGGATAATTTACAAATGTAGTTCAATTAGTTAATTAAGAAACAAATAAAGTGTACTTACAGATTTTTCAGTATTGCCCCCTTGAATTAAGTTCATTACTGTTTCAAAAATATCACAAGAATCACATTCTTGTGCCATAGTCTCCCAAGGCTCTGCTCCTGAAGAAGGTGGGGTTCCACGATCTACTGGTAATATACTTGAACCTCCAATGCTAGGTTGTCGCACTGGGACCTTCAGTTTTTTAGAAGGTGGCAAGGACTGAAGACTTGATGAAGATCCTTCTCTTTTTCTATCAGGCAAACCTTTGGAACAAAGTTATTTATGTTTAGAAAAAAATAAGGATTAAAATAAAGCAGAATTTAAATAACATCGTAGCCTAGTGAAGTAGCAGAAGATCATTGCGATTTTGGAAAATTGACTGATCTATAACAAAACATTAGTGCAATCAATTCTACCTTTACTAGAGGATGAAGAAATATGAGAGCTGGAGCCCTGTTTAGAAAGTGAAATGCCTCGTTTAGCATCTTCTCGGGAGGTTGACGGTTTTGCTCCTAATGCTATGAATTGTTCCGGGGGCTGTTGTGTTACTTTTCCTTTAGGTCCCCGAGATCCAGACACCAATTTATTTCGGTCCATTGCACCAGTTGGGACACCTATTTGACATAAACTAATTAAAACTATTTCACTTTTGCATTATACATTAGTATAAAAGCAGAATTACGAACAAAACTTGTAAAACTAAACAACATTTCACAGATAAAAAGTTAGGTTAGATCTGTATCATAGATTAAACAAATACAATCTGCATGGCTACCTTATCTATGATAGTTACTGTCTACCATAGATAAACAGTTCTACTTTTCAAACTCATTTAGCCATTTAGATAATGCAACGAAACATAACATACAGAGTGTTAAAAAGATCAACGTAAATCTAGAGTATTGTAAATATTTTTCAAACAATTGCGGGTAGAACTATTAACACGTAGCATTAAATTAAGTCTATAAATTTGCTATCAGAAATTTGTTCTTTGCATTGGTCCTTCTAATGGTTCTTGTACATTACCAATTCAGTAACTACGACAAAAACCAGAAACAAACATAAAATGAATGACATTTGAAATAAATTCGTATTTATTCAATTTATCTTTTTACTAATTGAAATAAACAAGTCTACGTGGTCAGAAATTGCTTATGTTTTTTATACATTATCCAAATGGTGTTAATGTTAACGGAAACCTATTATATTTACAAAAATAACGAGTAGTCAGATCTTGTTATGCAGTGACAGTGTCCGAGTCAGTGGTTTGAGGCAGTGAGTATGGCTTTTGTTTTCTTTGACGTCTACGTTCGCGCCTTTCGCCCATAACCAAACGCAACTGTTCCAGTTTGCCACGCGTGCGCAGATTTTGATCATCGCTTAACGACGAGGGAGTAACAATCTGTTGAATCGTTTCCGTCATTGATTCGGACGACTCTGATGATTCCCCACCTCTATTGTTCACACGTTTCAGTTCGGGGGCGGAACATAACAAATCATTCAAGATGTGTACAATAGTTGCCACGTCACGTCGCGGACGTCCTTTGGGATCTTGCAAGGCTGGGTTTAGGGCTCCGCTAAACGTTCCTGAATAAACACTGCCACGGCGACCTAAACAGTACAAGATTACATTACAGTACTTATAAAAGTATACCACACTACATTGTTTTATTGTAATTCTTTTTTGTTAGTAAATGCATCTATTCAAACGATAAGGCAATCAACAATTTTTTACAACGACCAATTGATTTCTTTTTATACGAATAAAATGACAGTTAGGTCCGCCGATGTACGCGCACGTTATTAAAGCTTTCGTGCACGAAGACCGCAACGATGGCCTTAACGGTCTCAACTATGCATGTTCTCTTGCCAATGAGAAGGGCACGTGGGCATGAGCGGGAGAGGAACGTCCTGATGATGATGGGCGAAGTCGCGGAAATCGGTAGTTTTTCAAATAAAAATAAAGCGCTCCACTCCAACGTGTAGGCTAAAAGCTACAAATGGGGACTCCCCGTATACCCAATCCTTTATTTAAAAAATCTGTTTCTGTTAAAAAAAAACATATTTGATCATTTTAAAAAATTACTAGTTACCTTTACGTTGAAAAAGATTCATTTGTAGCCAAAAAAGCATTATAAAGAAAATTTTTAATGTGATTAAGAAAGGTAATTAATTAATTTGAATTTTATCAATTACAATATGATTATCTAAAATTTTCATTAAAATATATTTAGGAATATTATAGAGTTGACATTAAATAACTATTTAATTAGTTAATTAATTAATCAATGAAGTTATCTTTCATACCTTCACTTCTACCAGAAAAAACGTCTGCAGATAGCCGTCTTAAAGTGCTTTGTAGATTTCGTGAGGCTTGTGTAAGACTAGGAGGTTTCTGAGGGGGAGGATCACTGGATGAAGGGGGTGGTTTTGCTCCTGATACTGTACTCAGTTGAAGTTGAATTAACATCATGTGGTCTCCTAAACGCATACTTAAATTGAGAGGTGCTTTACCACACAAAAATTCATTAACCTGAGTATCATTTAATGATTCTAGAGCTTGCATTATACCAATTTCAGGACGTTGAGTCTGTAAAAAAATACCCACATCAACACCAATCAACATGAATTAAAAGATGAAGATACTTATTTGCAAGTTAATGTTTTAAAATATTAAATAGATATTGGCAATTAGGCAATTGGGTCATTTCAAATTCAAAACAATATTAACATAGAATAACTATATTAGATAAAAGACCTATTATATTTTATAGATATGTTATTATCAAATATATTACAATAAATTAAACAACCTGCAACAATTTGCCAAATGCCATGTAAAGCAGCAATTTTGTTGAGCAAGCAAATAAGACCATTTTAACATATTTGTCACATAACTGTTTTACTAATTAATACTTAAATTAAATAATGATCTAGATTTAGAAAATACATATTGCAGTACAAGTGAAATGAGACTCATAAATAAAAAAATCAATGATAACTTACAATTAGTCCTGTTTCCACATTGGGTAATAGGGTAACTTTTGAACCATCAGAAAGTCCATTTTGTATGAGGTTGCCTTCTTGAAGTTGCCTAAAAAAGACCACCCAGATTATAAACAATTAAGTGAATGGTCAACAAAAAAAATGCTTACTTATCCCTAAATAGTAGACATATTCGATCCCTAGGAACTTTGAGTCTCTTAGAGACTAATTTTTTAAGATTTTCAATTGTGATATCCGAGTTCACAACTAAATTGAAATCACCTCCAATGGTGGGGCTAATACGTAGCGAAATTTGTGAATGTTGGCCACACCCCATGGAAATAGGGTTAAAATTTGTTTCGGTGGTATCTTCCATACTTTTAATGTAAAATTAACGCGAAATCTATACGTACTTGCCACTATAACACCCTAAAAAAATTATTCTACGGTACTATATATATCACATTCACCATTTCTAAACATTGCACTAAAAAAAAACAATAGAGTTTACGGTACTATGAGTTCTCTTTCTTTCTGACAGAAGTTGCTGCGCTATCGTCATGCGTACGATGGTACGAAGAGGGGTGAACAGGAGAACTGCTGTCAAATAGAGGCTGCAACAAAAGTTGCCTATACTAATACTTAATAAAAAGTCTTAATTTACGATATGTATTTTACTTTAACGTATTTAATTATTAATTCGATTATTTTATTTACTTTTTTGAATTTAATGATTTGTTATTAAGGTTTATTGTTTTGCAGTCTTTTTAATATAGGTACCTTATTCGTAGATTTTGTGCATTACGATGTGCACAGTTGATTGCATAACTAAAATTAATTATATACAGAGTGTATGAAAAATGATGATTTAATAGATAAACAATAAAACATTTTCAAAGGAGCAGTACATACTTTCATAATAGTATATTTTCTTGTTTTTGGCATTATGTTATAAACAACTCAGTCTGAGCCTTACTCGTATTACAAAAAAAACATTTCTTAAAATTATAATATCTTTGATGTTTCAGTGCTTATTATTCCTTCAGCTCGTAATCTAGAGAGAATCGGTTCGTAAATGTCTGTTGCAAATGGTAAAATGACTCCACGCTGCTGTATTTCTCCTAAAATATTATTACGTGTAGCACGAAAAAAAAAAAAAATAAATAAAATTGTGTAGGCATTACCATCTAAAATCATTCTAGTAGCTATAGCAGCTGGGTATCCAACAGTTTTTGCCATGGCAGAATGTTCACTAGCATCTCCGTAAACTACCAAATTAATTCCCTTAACTTCCTTTCTGTTATCAGGCCAAACAATTCCTATATCATGCCGTAAAATTACCAGGTCCCTCTCATCTTTTTCTGATAACAAAATATTTTTCGTTTTAATGAAAATAGAAGACACACTAAAGCCAAGTTTTGCCAAGAGCAAATAGGAAGTCCACATATATAGAATTACAAATTTCACCATTCTGCGTTCAATAAGAAAAAAGAGTGCGGCACGATTGGTCATTTTTTTCATTTAGGTAAAACAGTGACATAGGTGGTAGAAATTTTAAATGACCTGACTTATTCTGAACTCGCTCAATATTATTTCAAATAAATAGTTTACAATAATAAGCATTAGGGAGAAAAATAGAACTAATGTATCAGAATATTAGATTTCCTTACCATATGATAATTTGCTAGAAAGGTAATAGGCCAACGTGTCCAGTGGAGATCCTAGTTTAACAACTCCTGCTTTGCCTAACATTCCCAGTTCTTCTAAAAGTTCAACAGCGTATTCTGACCCGGTTATTTCAGCAACTTTAGACTTAAGATTTTCGTACATAATGTTATCATCTTCCAATCCCAGAAGATTGCATATAAGAAATCTCCATGTTATTTCAGGACCTTGATGGTGCAAAATTGGATTGGGTTCGGGGTCCAGAAGTCCCAGCAATTGTAACGTTCTTATTGCCTGCGTGTACCCTTTATATCGGATTGTACCCCTAAACACTGTAAGAGCGTCTTCGATTCCGTATAATTTCGAGTAAATTGTACTGTCTCTGTTCGGAAAACCTTCCAAATTAAAACCTGGCAGAAATTCTAAAGGTTTTGCCGCACCCATAAGGTCACCACCTTCACTTATATTAACTATTTGACCCTTTCGGAGATATTTAGCTGCGGAAAGAGTGTTTAGTAGGACTCCTTTAGGAAACCATGAAAATTTATAACGTAAGGGGTTGTTGCTGAATTCAGGGGCAGGTAAACCTCCACAGAACGACTCAAATGATGTAATCCGGCCTCCAAGGGCTTTAGTATTATGGATACATTCAAGGGCTAAAAAGTGATCTATTCCTGGATCCAAGCCAACTTCGTTTAGGATGGTCACACCTTTATCTACAGCTTCCTGGTGCAGGGTCGTGATTGCATCTTTGACGTAACTTGATGTTACCATGTGGGTGCCTTCCTCGATACAAGTTCGTGCTACTACGGGATGGAGATCGTAGGGTAATAGGGAGATCACAACGTCTGCTTGGGATACGAGTTCTCTGAGGTTGCTTGAAGAATCTGCACCAACGTGCAAGTATGACGTGTAAACTCCGGGGAATTTTTTGGCGAGATTGTCTGCCAGTTCTTTTTTATCGCAAGCCACTGTGATCGCCGTCTCCGGTTTTCGGTGGAGGTATTCTATTACAGGGGCGGATACCCTTCCTACAAGCATTTGATTGAATTGATTCGCTTTAAGGGAGATGCAGAAAATACCTTTCTTTTTTCAAAATTGTTAATGATGAAGATGAGTGCATGAAAAAATGATTTGGATTTGATTTTTTAGAGTTCATTTGTTATAGGAGAAACAAATGATTATTTCATGAAAGACATTTTTTATAGTTGACATTCGTAGATTAAATGAAAAAGCGATGTGAAGATTTTAGAATTTTGTAGAATACAGTGTAAATTGTATATAACGACACTTACGGGACTGAACGTTTTTCGGCGTTATAAAGAGTGGTCGTTAAATGGAGAGAAATAAAAGATATTATTTTACTATTCTATAATAATGTGCATTTACCAATATAGTACACATTTTGCACAAGAACATTATTATTCATACATTGCGTATAGCCTGTTATCTTCGTCTGATGTTTTTTGCTACTCCAATATTTTTATTGTACTTTGTTACGTATCTTACTCATATCTTGAGATACTGCTGGATCAATTTGATTATATAAAAAGTATTTTTTTAATAGTTTGGCTGCATCAAGTGCTTGTTTGATGCTTGGTGGAGAGACAGGATCGTCTTCTTTAACAACGTACACAGCTGCAGTTCTTATCTATTTCGGCAACTTAGAAAGTACTGCTCAATGATTTATAATGCCGCATTGTTGTCGTTAAATAGAGTGAGCGTGACGCTATATAGAGTGTAATATTGTATAGAAAACAATGTAAACCAACCAAAGTCAAGCAATTTCGACGTTTTAAGGAGTTTGTAGTTAAATCGAGTGACGTTATAAAGAGTTTACACTGTATTCCCAAATAGAAATTTGTAAAATATTTCCAAAAAATTTACAGATATTACATGAAATACTATACTATTATTCAAGTCAGCGAGAAGTTAATATAGGTACTTATTAAAAAAACTTTTTTATATTAATGATGATTTCCTTGATGAAACATTTAAATTGTGAATGTATAATGTCGAATGTGGTTTTATAATGGATGATTTCATTTCTACCTGCTCCTAAAATGACAACATGCTTTTGTTGTGTTGATTGATCCATTCCTGAGAGAGGTCTCGATTTTCTACAAAGTGCATTTTTTTAAATACTTTTGCGTTTTTAATTAAATTATTGTTAATTTACCCGTTCGTTTGTCTTAGTTCCTGTATATATTCAAAATCAGGGGTTAAGACACCATTGCTTGCGATTATTGCCTGCAATAATTTGTTTTACAATTAAAATTAAAAAAAAAAAAAAATGTTTTGCTTAATTTAAAAATGCCAATTTAAGAAAGGTTTAAAATAAAATTCTCAATTTAAATGCGTCTATACTATTTCCAGTTTTCGGGCTTTTTGGCTGTCGTTCGGAGTTTTTTGCTCTCAACGTTTCGTCGATATGCATCGACGACATCTTCAGGAGTTCTTCTTCTTAGAATGGTAAGTCGAAGTCAGACTTCTGAAGATGTCGTCCATGCGTCTCGGTGAAACGTTGAGACCAAAAAGTCGGATTTCGACCTACCATCCCAGGAAGAACTCCTGAAGATGTCGTCCATGCGTGTCGAAGAAACGTTGAAACAAAAAAACTCCGAATGACGGCCAAAACTGACAATAGTATCAACTATGGTCGCGAAAGCTTGAATAAATTTGTTAAAATAAAAGTGAATCTACATTCCATTACTTACCCGCAAAGTTTTGCTAATGGAATTTTTTATATAATTTATTATTTTCAATCTTTTGCATGAGAAATTTCTCTTTGTAGTAAATTTTCCTAAACACGATAATAAACAATTGAATTTGTAGATAATTATGATAATGATTTCCAAGAAACCAATCACCGATAAGGGCTAATCGCTCTTTGTTTACATATTTATTTATATTGTATTCATAGCACTGCGTAATCTTATTTTGAAAGTTATTACAAAACATATTTGCTATTTCGATTGTTTATGGCAAATAAAATACTTCAATTGTTATTACTTTGATATATGCAATTTAATTAATGAATTACGTATCTACCTACTGTTAATAGATTAAAAAAGCGCAAATACGTAATAAGTAAAGGAAGAAGTAATACGATTCAACCAGAAAGTTTATGATGAATGCTCTTTAATAAATTGTTTCGGACAAGGGACCATTATAAACTTCAGCTTTTGATGGCATACTTTACTTTAATCATACCTGTTTGACTGTAGGAGAAAAACTGTGTTCTTCCAAAGGCCTGGTAGCATCGGACTTTTGAATTATTTCTTTGGCAATTGGGAACAAAAGATCTCCGAAGAAGTCGGTACTCTCCCTGGGAATTTGGGTTGGCATATTATCAATACTACAAACTAGAACTCCTGGTCCTTTGAAGCTATTGGTATCCTTGTTTCTGTCGGCGTCGTACAGACAGAAAGGTGTGTCAATTGTGGTGTTTTCGTTCATAAATTCTATAGAGCCTCCAGGATCAGCGGAGATGTCGCATATTCCTAACATTCTATGGGGCAGAGCTGGTGCCCCGATCGATGTAGGTAACCAAGGTGTGTGAGCAGGTTTGAGGAGATGTTTGGCGTCCGGAATGGTTAACAATTTTGGACTGTTCACTGCCCAGTAAATTCCATTGACAATGACAGATGCATATGGCGCAATATTTTTGCTAAATGTTGATATATATCTTTCGGGATGTTGTTTATATTCCTCTCTATCAAATCCACCCCCTTCCGCCCTTTCGAGATAGTGTCTACTTCTTACTTCACATCCGTAGACTTTATTTGGACTGCCGTGTTCTGCCGCTTTTTTGAGATGTTCTGGTGGAACATACTCGTGTGGGAATTCGAGGAATACCTCCTGGGATCCTTGGGACACGTTTCCGGATCCTGTGAAGACGAATGTTAAAGGACCGACGGATTTTGGCATCAGGCCCAAGGCTATTTCGTAACCGGCATCTCGAACAGCTTGCCGTGCCATACTGGAGTTTCGGTAATTATGGGCTGGACCTATGTGCATGAAGGGGGTGTGATGACCCAGGGCTAATAACCTCAAACCAATTCCATGAAGTATGTTGACCATTCCTGCGACCCCTGCCATCTTGCCGAAGGCAACTATTCTTTGACCTTTTTCGTCTACCATTTTTTCGTAATCTATTAGTCGAATTCTTTTCTCTAAAATAGCATCTAACATCGGCATGTTTGCCTCCTGGGCCTTTATCGTGTGTGAAAAGAAGCAGTATGTTTTATCTGGGATCAACTGGTCAATAGGGACCTGTTTGACGCCAAAAATGACGTTTGCTTCTGATATGTCTTCCTGTACAATTGCACCCGAATTAAGATATGATTGCATGGGATATGCCCTTCTGTTGCTGGGTTGTACGATAACTTTGATGCCATCCTTTACCAGTTTCTTTGCGTGCGTTGGAGCAAATGGGGCTCTCCGTTCCCATACACTTTGATCTTCTCTTCGAATTGCTATTACCTTTTTTGATGCCTAAAAGTTTTTATCGTATTATAATGCAAATTCTTGGGGGCTATTATAGGTATGCAAGACAGGCACTGGTTGATTTAATGAGTCACAATTTTTTAGAACTGGTACATCGCAATGATGATGAAGTTTGAAGAGGGAAAAAATAAATTCTGGCTTAGTAAATCAACAACCAGCAGGAATTTCTCAAAAACAAAAGAATGTAGCATTTTCGCTAGTTTTTCTTTAAAATTTAGTAATTGTTGGAAATAGAGGAAGGTATGGTTCATTTCTTTAGGGTTGTTTTGTTCACCCTTCAATATCCCCCCAATATTATATTTGGGATAAATTTATTTTGAGACAATCTGCCGTGACAAACGTATGACAATTTGGTACTGGAATTCTTAAGTTATCAATAATAAAAACCAAAGTTGTTCTATAATTAATTAAATTAGGTTTAAAGAATCGTTTGATGTAATAGTAATAAACCACAAAAGTTCCTAAAAATCGAAAAGTAAACTAAAACGATTTTTATTTTTCTTTGTTTGTTTCTTTATTTAAAACGAATAAATATGGAAAAAAAATAAATTTTTACGATTACGTTACAATTTAAATGAAAGGAAGTCAATGCTCAGAAATTTTGTGTTTTAGAATATTTAATGTAAAACCGTCAAGAAACACTTGAAACACAATTGAAAAAAATAGGGGAAGCATAAGTCAACAGAATATAAGACACTAAAATGCCAGCATAACAGTGGCGTGTATGATCAATTAAAACGGATGTGAAAATGGGCGGACCATTCAAAAAAAGTATAATTCAAATATTGTACCTACAAAAAATCGTTTACTTCTTAAATGGCAGTTAATCTTGTTTTCTCTGACGACCCGGAACATTTTTTCTGAACGGTAACAGAAATTTTAATCACAATAATAATTAATAATACTGTTTACACGTTGTTTGTTCACTTCACGATTGCCGCAGCTGAACTATTTTGAGAGAATACGAGCATATTGAAAGAGACGATATCAAATCCAATATTATTGACTTTTCTATACCTACAATCTGCTTGTTGGTGCAACAAACATTTCTAACTGTTATTATCTAATGAACTTTTGACATTATTTTCGTAATTTCATATACAAAAAGTATTAACACTCATTAATTACAGTTAATTACAAAATATCGGAATAAATTTTTTAATTTTATAAGAAATAAGTTAGAAAAAATAGTATGTTCTTATAAAGACAACTGAATTATTAAATAAGGAAAAAACTGTTTGCTTCCAGCGGTTTTGTGGGAAATGTAATAATGAATTTTTAACAAATTTATTTTAACATTTTTGTCTTCATTGTATAATAAGATTAATGTTAGAGAGTACTTATACATACATTTTCATATACAGCGTGTCTTCTATATTTACATGCGAAAAAATTCAAGAGGTAATTCCTGAGGTATTTTTATGAAGATAAGTTTCTATACGCATTTGTAGATAAATGCTTCTCATCAAGTGGGCTATCTTGAATACGATATTTTTGAGTTTTAAATATAAATCAAAAGCATATATTGTAGGGGTTAAGAGAAAAAATAACCCCATTGTTTATGTTATTTTGTTTTTCCATCTAGATTTTAGAATATGGTATGTGAAGAATAGAAGATTTTTTAAGTAAAATAGATACCATTGGTTCATAACGATAGGGCTAATCTTTTTGGAGAAAATTGGAAATTTCTACATTGACGCATTTGTAGGCCTAGGTGAAGTTACTGAGAATTTTTCAAAAACTTAATAAGCACAATGTGGTAGATCTCGTCAAAATTTGAGATCTTTGAATATTCCAGAAAAATTTCAAAACTGATTCAGCGTCAAAAGTTTATGCTGTATACCAATTTTAGAATTCCGGTATGAACGGTTTCGAAGATATTGAAGAAAAATCGTGTTCAGGGTGACCAGTTTAAATGGGTGTAGCTTCAATAGGAAGCATTTTTCGACAAATGTTTATAGGAATTTATCTTCATAAAAAATACCTCCTGAATCATGGGCGCAGCACTCTAATTTATGAGAGGGTGCTCTCGAATCTCACGTGAGAGATTTTGGTTTATCTACAGATTAGCTACATTGGCAGATATGCGCCGGAGGAGGTAATATGAATATCGATATTACAACGGAGTTCAGACCAGTATCAAAAAAATCTCAACCTCTAGCTGATTACATTTACTAATTACAGTTCTTTAGTTTCATCCGGTTTTACTGGTCAACAAGCATGGAAGTTTAGTATCTTCAAGAGATATTTAAAGATACTTTGAAAGATATAGTTTTACTTTCTGAAAACTCAAGTTTTCAAATTATTCGTTCAGTATGCCCCACATGGTGGTTATACAGAATGGGACCTTTGAGTCAATTTCAAGTTGTCATTGATAGCAAATCCCAAACAGTTACAAAAAAATGGTTGTTTTTTCTCATTTACTGCATAGTAACTTGTTCAGATGGGTTAAGAGGGTTTTGATAAATTTGGGTTTTTGATGGGTGAAGGTGTCCACCATGATTTAGGCCACTGTGAAACTACCTCTCGTTGCGCCCATATCAGGAATCACCCTAATAAAAAGTTTTTATCATTTTTTAAAGAGTGCGTGTTTTGTAACGGTTAAATGGTAAAACTTTTTTTAATTAGATTGGACGAGAAACTTTTTGAAATATATTTTCAAATATTAGATGTAATAGTTTCGTATATTAGTCATTATAATGTATCCATATGACTCTTGACATGTCATTAAAAAAAAATGACAAGGAAGAACATGTCGGTGGCCGTATAGGAAGGTAAGTATAATAGCACGATGGGACGTGGCGTTTTCGAATGAGAGATGGCCCATAGTAGAACGTGCACCGTAGTTGCTGAAGGTAAATAAACAAAAGTCCATTAGTTTTCTAGTTTACACGTGTTTTAACGAGATGACGACCACACGCATATCAAGTTGAAAATAAAAAGAATCTAGATCATTTCACCACTAAAAGGTGTTAGTAACATTTGGACATATGTTGCATTAAAACATGTAAAATGTTCAATTATTCCGATATATAATTTACTAACCGAGAGTCAAACAAATGTTAAAGAATAAAAGAGGAAGGGTAGAATTGCATATATAGGGTGTTCCTCTAAAAACGTTGACGCGAATTTAAAAATTTCATCAATTAAAATATGAGTTACACTTTTATGTAGTGTTTTTCTAGCGTATCCAATCTTACACAAAGTTTTAATGGTATCTATTAAGTTCAGTTCAGCAACAAATAATTCTTCTATATGCTTTCTTATTTATCTTTGTCACTCGTTTTAATTGGAAAAAAGACACTGATGACAAAATAGTTTGCTTAGCGTGAAAGATTACAGCCAAAATAGGGTAGTAAATAATTTTATTGATGTAAAATCAAGATCAATCATTTTATATCAAAATATTTACAACCCCATTTTGTTTCTGATCTTTTACACATTGTAATAATAGAAAGAAATGGAATCCGTTTCTTTAGCCTTGGGTTCATCTAATAAGTGAAGTTTTTCGAATCGTTTTCTATGAATTTTAGATTATATGCATTTATCGGCACACCATAATATCTTGTAGTTTTCAGTTTTACACCTGGAGTATATCAATTCGGTATTGTTTTGGGGACTGTTTTGTCGTAATTCATAAAATTTTGAAGTTCCTTGCTGGGTACGATAAGTGGTGATTTGGCAGGTGCTGATATCAATTTGGAATATCAAAATTCCGTGGATCATGGCACTGAACCCGGAAAACTTTAGATTATCCATTTTCAAGGAGTTTAGAATTTTTTGGGCTCTCTCTCTCTAAAAAATTTGACACGAATTTAAAAATTTCATCAATTAAAATATGAGTTACACTTTTTATATACTTTATGTACTGTTTTTCTAGTGTATCCAATCTTACACAAAGTTTTAATGGTATCTATTAAGTTTGCCGAACTTGAACTACCACTCTAGGAAAAAGAGCTCCTGAAGATGTCAGCCACGTGTGTAATTATAAAGAAACGTTGAGAATAAAAAGTTGTGAGCAGCCCTTCAGATCCGACGACATAGTTGACCTAAATAACGCCGCTAGTATTCCAAAATTGCCATTTATAATATTGCCCAAAGTCTTAAAAAATTCAATTAACACTGGCGCAAACTATTCTATAATTAACCCCGAAATTGCATTTTGTTTTCTTGACGAGTACATTTTTGAACAACCTTTTACAGTTTCTAGGAGCGATAAATATAATCTTTATTACCCATATTACTAGAAGGTGTAAATATATGCAACCTCATTCAACTTAGATTTATGAAGTGGCTTGGAAAATTCGAGGCATTTATAGGAACCAACGATTTAAAACAATTAGGAGCAAATATTAACTACCAAAATAGTACAATAACTTTAAACAATTTGGATATACCATTTTATTTGTGTGATAATCCATGATTTTTCCAACCAATCGAGGTCTAGTCAGAAAATAGTAAAATGCATTTACCAGTCGATATTAACCATAGACAGGTATTTTTAGAAGTCCCAGAATTAAATATTCCTTCCGTTCTTGAAGAAGTGCAAAACGGATTTGCTATCATTCCAAGCACATTCGAAGAATCGTTTATATTTGAACACCCTGTAGAAGCTACCCTTATGGATGAACTGGAAGAACTTGATTGCACTTTCGAGAAATATATTAATATCGAAGATGTTTTAAGAATGGATCATTCAAACATAGAAGAAAAGTCTAAATTATTGGAATTGACAAATAAGTATGCGGAAATATTTCATAAAAATGAAGATAAATTAACATTTATTAATCTAGTTAAACATAACATTAGAACAAAGGACGAAGAACCTGTTCATGTTCGGCCTTATCGTCATCCCCAGCATTTGAAGAAGTAAGTACAAGAACAAATTCAAAAGCTCTTAAGGGATGGAATCACAAGACTGCCTATTAGCCCTTAGAGCTCCCTTGTTTGGATTATTCCAAAAAAAGATGGAAGCAAGTGGAGAAAAG